CGGATCGGGTCGGCCAGAATCGATATCGAATAGGATCCATCGGATTCTAATTGACCCTGGAGGGATGAGACAGAACGACGAGGGGGAAGGATGAGTGAGAAAAATGAAGGGAGGAGAGAGGAGATCCCCGCAAGTCTCAAGGCCTGATTCGATGACCGCGATCGCCAAACCTCCAGGATTGAGGAGGAGGAGGATGCAGGAAGGAAGAGGAGGAGAAGAGAGGGAGAATGAGAGGAGGGAAACGGTGAACAGGAGGGAGGAGGGAGAGGAGAGGAGGGAAAAGGAAAGGAGAAGGGAGGGAAGAGGAGAAGGAGGAGGAGGAGGAGGAAGAGGAGGAGAAGGGGAGAGGGAGGAGGAGCATGAGGAGGAACATCAGGAGAAGGAGGAGGAGGAGGAGGATAGGAGGCTGGAGGTCGCCGAAAAGGTGAAGAGGATCATCATCGTGATGATGCCCGTCCACAGCAGTGGTCTCGCCGAGGTGGCGAGCCCGTAGATGAGGACCCACAACTCCTTGCAGACTTCTCGGGCGCCGTGCTCCTCCTCCTCCTCCTCCTCCTCCTTCTCCTCCTCCTCGCCCTGCTCTTCACACTCTCCTCCTCCTCCTCCTCCAACTTCTCCTCCTCCTCCTCCTCCTCCTCCCTCCTCCCCTCCTCCTCCTCCTCCACTCTCCGCCTCCTCCTCCACCTCCTCCTCCTCCTCCTCCTCCTCCTCCTCCTCCTCCTCCTCCTCCTTCTCCTCCTCACCTCTCTCCTCCTCCTCCTCCTCCTCCTCCTCCTCCTCCTCCTCCTCCTCCTCCTCCTCCTCCTCCCCCTCCTCCCCCTCCTCCCCTCACGGCGAAGGCAGGATGAAGGCAAGCTGGAGGATCGATACCAATGGGGAATCTCTCAGAACTGGCGGGTCTGGAGGATGTATCGGGCGCCGCGGCCGCCCCGAGAGGGCTCCGGAACGCCCCGAGAGCGGTCCGGAACGCTCGGAGCGCTCCCGAACTCCTGCGCCTGCCTGACCGCCCGAGCCCTGGACGGGAAGAGCTCGGTGCAGACTTCGCGAGCTCCGTTGTCGTCGTCGTCGTCGTCGTCGTCGCCGCCGCCGCCGCCGCCGCCGTCGTCGTCGTCGTCGTCGTCGTCGTCGTCGTCGTCGTCGTCGTCGTCGTCGTCGTCGTCGTCGTCGTCGTCGTCGTCGTCGTCGTCGTCGTCGTCGTCGTCGTTGTGGACCCCCGCCCCCTTCGGGCGCTGCCCCATGGGGGGCAATGAACGACGGCGGCGAGCGAGGGGGGGAAAGGAGAACGAAAAGGCCTTCTCAGACGGCTCGGAGGCCCCACAGCCTTTGGAAAGTTCTCTAAGCCTTCCATGAAGACGCTGAACACTTCTCTCACTGAGGGCCGGAAGCCTCCTGAGAAGTGCCGCCGCCGTCTGAGAAGGCCTTCTCCTTCTCACTTCCCCCCCGCGCTCGCCGCCGAGAATGGAGGGGGCTCTTTTCCGGGCCACATGAGGAGCAGGAGAAGGAAGAGGAGGAGGAGGCGGAGGAGGAGGAAGAGAGGGAGTGGAGCGACGCCGACGACGAGGACGTCGACTTCGCCGATGCCCCCGAGATTTCCGGGAGTGACTGGAGGTTCTTGTCGCCCTCCTCCTCCTGCTCCTCCTCGTCCTCCTCTTCCTCCTCCTCCTCCTCCTCGTCCTCCTCCTCCTCCTCCTCCTCCTCCTCCTCCTCCTCCTTCTCGCCCTCCTCCTTCTCCTCCTCCTCCTCCTCCTCATCATCCTCCGCCTCCTCCTCCTCCTCCTCCTCGTCCCCCTCCTCCTCCTCCTCCTCCTCCTCCTCCTCCTCCTCCTCCTCCTCCTCCTCCTCCTCCTCCTCCTCCTCCTCCTCCTCCTCCTCCTCCTCCTCCTCCTCCTCCTCTCCTCCTCCCCTCCCCTCCCCTCCTCCGAAAGAGAGGCGGCATCTCGTGCACACTCGCCACCCCGGGGGGGCCCTCTCTCGGGCCCCCTCCTGTCCTGCAACCCTTGGCTCCCCGCGAGAGGTCGCCCCCCCCCCCCCCCTCAACAGGCGCACAGAGGCCCTCGCTCTTCTCGAGGCCACGGCTGGTTTCCCTTCAAAATTCGGGCCCGAGCGTCGTCTCTCCATCCCTCCTCTTCTTCCCGAGGCCTCCAACAAGGATTGGTTCGAGGTTCGAGGTTCGGCGATGTTTTCGACTTTTCTGGGCCCCGCCCACGTGGCCACAACCGGTCTTCGGTCTCCCTCCAACGTCGTGCTGGAACAACCCGGTCTGGGGTGGACGTTGTCACCCGACCCAGACCCCCGACTTCCTGAAACCAATCCGCCGACCCCTTTCCCCCTCCCCTGATGTGTGAAATCAGCTTAGAGGGGCGGGGGGAGACCCCTGGGGTGGGGTGGGGTGGGCTGATGTGTGGAATCCGCTTAGAGGGGCGGGGTGGGGGGTGGGGGGCCCGAGGGGTGGGGGGAGCTCCCTGGGCTCTTCAACGCTCCGCCGAGGTCTCTAGAGCCTCCATTTCTTCACTGCGTGGCCTCCAAGATGCCCAAGATTTCGTGGAAGCTTGCTCCAGCTGGGCTCCAACACGCCGTAGAGGCCTCACAAATAACCCAGTACAGCCTCAACACGGCCCAAGAAGCCCAAGACACTCCAAGACAGCTCCAAGAGGACCCCAAAGAGAGCCCCAAGAGGCCCAATTCGCTGCAACTCCAATGGGGAACTTACATGTTTAGCATGTTCACCCTGTTGGCTTCCACAGCGTCCAAGGCGGCCCCAAAAATCGCTCGAGGACGACCCAAAAGGTCCCTACGAGGCCCCCAAGACGGCCAAAGGGAGCCACATTACGGCCCAAGAGGCGTCCAAAGACCGCCCAAAAGGAGCTCCGAAAGAGCGTCGAGAGGGGCCCAGGAGGGGGAGCCCGAAGTGCCATCTCTAGCCCTCCGCACCAAAGAGGACCCCCGAGACCGCCAGCCAGCGCTCCACAGGCTCCCACGATGCTCCAAGGCGGCCCACGAGTGGCCCAAAGTGAAGGGGCCCTGGGACACACACACACACACACACACACACACACACACACACACACACACACACACATAAATAGACACAAAGAAAAACAGGATTCCCAGCATCTTCCCCAATTTTCTAGGCTCTCGCCTTCCCCCTTCCTTCCCATGTTTCCCCATGACTTCCTGGAAGTCGACGATGAATTGTGGGTGTGGGTGTGTGTTTTGTTCACCGCCTCACAGCGAGGCCCTAATGGAGCCCCCCCCGAACGGTTCCCGGCAAGCAGAAGGCCTCGCTCGTGGGTTCCGTGTTCCTGCCCCTGGGGGCGGGGAACGACGCCCCGCGGGACCGCAAGAGCCATCCGACTACCGTGGGGCGAGAGACCGGTCCGCAGGATGTCGACCTCCTCCTCCTCCTCCTCCTCCTCCTCCTCCTCCTCCTCCTCCTCCTCCTCCTCCTCCCCCTCCTCCTCCTCCTCCTCCTCCTCCTCCTCCTCCTCCTCCTCCTCCTCCTCCTCCTCCTCCTCCTCCTCCTCCTCCTCCTCCTCCTCCTCCTCCTCCTCCTCCGTCCCGAGCTCTGGCATTCGTGGCACGTTGGTGGGCGCCCAGGCGCCCCTGGATGCCCTATGGGGGGGACATCTCCCATTCCCGTTCCCATGCCTGGCCCTCGTCCTGCTCCTCCTCGTCCTGCTCCTCCCCTTGGCCGTCACTCCTGGCGCAGGAAGGAGGAGGAGGAGGAGGAGGAGGAGGAGGAGGAGGAGGAGGAGGAGGAGGAGGAGGAGGAGGCCTCCCTCCAAGTTCCCTCTTGATGAATCCCTACAGAAATCCATGTTCACTAAGACAACCGCTGGAAATCCTGAACTGTGCCAGAAACTCTTGTACATGCTTGAAACAAGTGCGAGCGGCGCTGAGGAGTGAGCCACATGTTGAAAACCAACACCCCTCCGTCCGCGAAACGATCGTGAATGTTTACGACGAGTGCGAGCGGCGCTAAAGCGTGAACCACATGTTGAGAACCACCCGTCCTCCATCCGTAAAACGATTGCAAATGTTTAAGACGGCGCTAATGAGAGAAACACATTGTGATAACGGCCCACCCTCCATCCGTAAAGTCCGTAATGCTCTTGCTATTTGTTTAAACGAATGCGCACGGCGTTAAGGAGAGAACGACATTTAGAGCATGGCACGCACACTATCCCTGAAATTCTGGCAGATCTTGAA